GAGTTACAGCCTGAGATCAGGAAAGCATCATCAAATCCTTTTACATTTAAAAATTGCACAAAACACCATGTGTATTTAAGATTCATTCTTCATCTTATAATTTTGTTAACATGTGTTCACTACTCGGTGTTTATAGCGCAATTGTTACCGATTTAGAACATTAGAAATTCAGCATCACATTGAAGTGAAAACCACAAATTTAATATGACTGAAATCATACACAATCACGACAGTAATCACAGACTCGTAAGAAATGTTGATTATTTGAGATGATACAATCAGTCCAATAAACTTTTCAGTTTACGATGAAGAAATTCACTACCTTTCTAAATATGAATATAGCGTAATAGACTATGACTTTCTTAGAATAATCTTTACTGGACGACTGATTTATGATGATTAACAAAATATGTGTTAAAATTGTATTATAAGTGGTTTAGTTAAACATTTTAGGTTGTACGCTACTGAAGAGAACCGTCGAAATGAAATGGATGTATATTATTCTGCATCAAAGAGCATTTCGTGTATGAACTTTGAACACGTTAGTGGTGTAGTTTCTTGAATAGCTTATAGATGGAATACAGACTCCACATATTTGCTCCGATAATAAACAATAACCAGTTTCCTTAACCTCAATCAGTCATTTTTATTGAGAGTTTTAGTAACCTCTGAATTCTAGAATTTATTGCTTGTGTCGGTATGATTATTTTGACAGAGAGTAACAGTGAAAATATGCAGAACACGTATCTACAATTCATACTGTCATCTTGTGATTTCTTCACAGTTTTGCAGCATCTTAACAATAAATACCTTAATTGTAAACTCTTCTTCTTAAATACGCCAAAATAGAAGCTGGGTAATTTAGAATTGCTATCATCAACTGGATAATTCCATTAAAGTATGCAAATGATACTAACGTTTTCGGAATTGAGCGAAACTGAATTCTAAATGGAATCATTTTCCAAGTATCTTATGGTTGGTTCAACTATGACTGAAAGCATTTATCTATACTTTAATTGCTTAACATATATGCAGTGTTAAGAAATATATGAAGTGTGTGGTTCCATAGAGAATCTACACATAAGACAGTGGTACTAGATGGATTACTGTAATGTTTCATTTTGTCTGGTTGTCGTTAAACTAGGACTCAAGTATATATATATATATATATATATATATATATATATATAATAACTTGTGAGTAGTGAGGAGAAACAACCGAATAAAATTGACCCGTTCTGTTCTCCTTCAGTGCCTGTTCCTCTCATTTTCAAGTTTGTAAAGCGAAAGTGGGCACCAAATTCAAATGCTCCAGACGCGCAGCACTTGTGGCATGCATAGCAGTGCAAAGTATGCTTGTTAGTCTCTCAGTGGTTCTTTACCTGATGTTTTTCGGTGTTGAAATCAATCGATTCGCCACAATTGATCAATCGAATTAACACCGAATATGTGCGATCGAGATGACGTAATAACTATCCCGGATATTTGGGAAACTGCAATTAAAAACAGGAAGGCATGAGGAAATCTCATTAATACCTTGATATAGTTATGAGCAATAAAGTGTGCTCAAAGGGTAATTCAGTTATTAATACGGTATCAATGTGTGCTGTAGCAAATAAACATGTGGAATTACATGCTACCACAATGCCTAGATTCTACACAATACTAATACTTTAGTATAATTTAGTCTTAAACAGTTAATCACTGATTAAATTAGATAGCCTGAATTCCTCGACAAGAGTTATTCAATAGAATCGATATAACTTGATGGTGAAGTGATGTGTAATCAGGAAAATAAAAAGAGCAGATTGGAGACAAATATACAGCTGATACTGAATAGGAACATGATTCCAACTGTGTAGGACTTAGTGTAAACCAGTAAAAATGGATGTCTTCTACATCGTACACCACTCCAAACAAGTCATCCTACAGATTTAATTTTAAAGGCTTAAATGACCATTAATGTGATTGACAAACAGGATGACCGATTGTGAAACAAATAGGCAGGAAGAAATGGAGGTGGATTGGCCATACTCTCAGAAAACAAACCATCAAGTGACATCACTAGACAAGCCATTGCTCGAGTGGAACCCGAAAGGGAAGCGGGCAGTTGGTCTTCAGTGCAAGGGTGACTTGGAGGAGGTCATATGAAGAGGAGATGAAAGCGTGTGGGCAGACTTGGAGTGGGGTGAAAGAGTTGGCAGAAAAGCGAAGACAATGGAGACACACAGCTGAATCCCTATGTTCCTCTAGGAATTAAAGGAAATAATAATAACAGGATGACTTGAGGTAGATGACAACTGGATATGCATCATTTATTTTTAAACAATAAAGCTGCCTAACCTCAATAAGTAAATCAAAGATTTTATTTAAAATAATTTATAATTCAAACATACTATTCAATAACAAGTACTGAATGCGTTGAAACAGTGAAAAGTGGCTAAAGTTATGGAATCACACACTTTAGACCACATAAGTAGAACGCAAGAACGTCGTGTCACGAGTTCATATCATCATTCAGTTACTGAAATTCAGTTATTCATTAATCCTAACTTCTGTCAATTCACTATGTTGGCCCTATCATCCAGTGTTATTAATGAGTGTCTATCGTCACCTCTGACTTGATCCACACCAACTGGTCACTAATTTCTGTTAGAAACTCATGAAATCTGCCTTAATTTTAGTCATTAATGGGTCGGGGTGGGTGGGCAGAATGGGAGTGTTAAATTTACATACTTGATAACATTTTATAGGTATATTATAATGAGTGATGTATAGTGGAGGTTTCGTTACATCCATGGACTCAGTGATTGTAAGTGAAATCCTACCGTGGGGAAGTATAAATATTTATAATATCAGTTTACTAAGTAAAATACAAAGTTGATATGAAATTAAAAACAGAAACACGACTTTTTCTTTGAAACAATCTAATTGAAAATGCTTTCCAGACTTTGGTATTTTCTACCAAACAACACGAAACTGGTGCATCTTTAAATAGTTACTTCAGGATTTTTAGTAGCTATCAGTAAGATCTGGGAATAACCTTTTTTCCAAATAGGAACAATTTAAGTGAGTGCACTGGCAAGTCTGCGATTCTAGGAGAACCTAACAGTTATTACATGGTTATTATTAATAACAGAATGTCGTCCGTACATAATCGGCATAAAGAAGTTTATGCAGTATAGTGAATTATTTATTTTTCGTTTTCATAGCCCATTATTTCTACTGTAATGACCTAAGTAAAACTTAAAACGGATTGAGATGATTTGAAGTGAAACTAAGACGTAGGGAGAAATATATTTCATTTGAACAGCAGACTAACCATCATTTAATAATCCTCACCCAGTTTACTAATCGGTTCCTAGCCCGGATAAAGACAGAAGGTTGGGCTTAGGGCTAGCGACACTACCTCGGAGAATCATTCCGGTCGCTACAGAAACTTCCAAACACAGGAAATATGTAATAGTAATAGACTTTGCATCATTCAGCTTAAGAAATACAAATGAATTATTTTATCAACTATATTTTGAATCAAATGATACCGTTAGTTATGACTTATAAGTGATCTTTCCAGAAGGAGATATTCTAATCTGATATTCAACTAACCTTTTACTTACATTTTTAAAGTACTCTATTACATTTTTTCTGATTTTAATTCAATTTTGACTTCCCTGTTAACTGATTGCACCGAAATGTTCGCCTCCTAGTAGGAACGGATGTTTGAGGATGAACTTTAATTTGGTGGAGGGTGACTAGCAGTGAAATCCAGGATGGATACTGAGTTCGAATCTTAATGGAAACACCATCACTCATCGGGGAATGCAGGTACATCCAGATGACTAGTCTCAAATAGAACAAAATTCTTAGATTCCACTGTAGGTCACCATCCACTAAATTAATCCTATTACTTAGTTTGTACTATAGGTATGTCATGGGACTCTCTTGTGGAGGTTTGATTTGCTTCAGAGTAGGCTATTTCGTGGGAATCACTGGAATCCATGGTGTACTAAACATTAATGCTGTCTCCTTCTGTCTTCCCCGGCACTGGGAACGTATTATCCCATAAGGGAATGAGTCAAGGTTTTTTAGACTTCAAAATAAACTCTTTACCATTCCTCCTTTTTGGTTACAGTTAATTTGTCTGCAGATTCTAACCCCTCAATCACTTTATGAGTGCGAACTGGTGAAGAATTTTAGGATAAAAAAAATAACTATCTGGTGTCTCGTGGTTTTCACAGGTTCTTCAGGTGATGTCAGCATGCAGCAATATATAATTTAATTTACGCCTTAAACACATTTCGCCATCATCGCGGCATCAACTGTTGTGATGATATTTATGACGATACAGCTAGAAATTCTAACAGCAATCATTATTCTCACCGTTGTATTACGCTCATAATACTTATTGGTTACTTCAACAAACCAATCATTACTTAAATTTCATGTTATTTTCCGTATTATCTTTATATAAACAAAGCTGACAAAATGAAAAGAAAATTAAGGCATAATATTTGACTAGAAAATAGACTTAATAATGAATAATGACTGTGCATATGTATATCCCATCGAGATGTTTGTGTATGCGTATAGCTGTGTGCACGTATGCGCACTAGTATTTGCATACGTTTACACATACACACATTTAATGTATACATATTTATATGAACAAACAAATATAAGAGAGTGTGTGTGGATTAACGATGCTTGATTTCATTTTTTACAAAAACTATCAGCTGGATAAATTCGCGTTTTATTTTATGGGGAAGAAATATTGTCAAAAGTATAGAAGGTGAATTTCTCGTTAGTAGGATGCATACAAGTTAACATACTATCTCCACAACAATTCTCTACTCCTATTCATTTGTTAGTTTGGTTAATGTTTATCCAAAGATGCCTGACACGCGTATTTATTCAAAGTGAAAAATATTGAACCAATATATATAAGGAAATAAAAGCGGAAAATAATTTCTCAGATATCTATCTGTATTACACAATCTAGAATGGATAAGGAATATTCAAAACAATATGGAAATGGATTAAAATATTTTCCTTTCTTTGCAGATATGAATACCACTGATGACACCAACAATCATAACACTGTTATGCAGTTTCATGATTTCATTCATAAAACACCAACAGAATACTTTAACTCAATGTATTCTACTAATTCTGATGTTCCACAGATTTTTACAACTGGAAATAATAACTCATTCAACAACCTGACGAATATCCCTATTCAGTCGGTAGTGAACGACTGTGATATGTTTGAAACAGAGGCATTCGCTCCTTCTCCTCTTTGTACTAATAATTTAGGCACTTGCACGACGACAACTGTGAATTTTTACAACAGCAGTAATAACAGCAAGATCGGCAACAACAGAAACAGTTTTCAGCATCATAAAAGACACCAATCAAGTAGAGAAAACCCTGATAGAATTAAAAAGTCTAAACAGTCACGTGTGAATAAAACTGTAGGATCTTCCTCGTCATCGACGTCATCAGCTAACTGTATCAGACTTCATAATCGTGGAATACGCCTACATTCCGTCAAACCACCTTATTCATACATTGCGTTAATTACAATGGCTATATTGCATTCTCCACAGAAACACTTAACTCTGGGCGGAATATGCGATTTTATCATGTCAAATTTCCCCTACTACCGTGAACGTTTTCCAGCATGGCAGAACTCTATACGACACAATCTGTCGCTGAATGATTGTTTTATGAAGATACCACGTGAACCTGGTAATCCTGGAAAAGGAAATTATTGGACTTTGGATCCGAATTCCATGGATATGTTTGATAACGGAAGTTTTTTGAGAAGACGGAAACGCTATAAACGTATTAGTCTGGAGAGTAATGGTAAAACATTTTTCTATAATTATTCTGAATTCATTAGCACTTATAGTAACAGTAGGTCGAATACTGGTCGTAATCGTTCAACAAAAAATTCCTCAACCACTAATGCTACAATAAACAATAGAAGTAATATAACTATAAACAGAAATAATGCTGAGTTTAAGGCTGATGAAGACCATTCTCAAGCAATAGTCAACTCACCCATTTTAAGTGATACTAACATTAATACTGACAATAATGATTTCAGTGACAGCATGTCTTTATCCAATGAAGTACAATTAAAAAGGTGTCCTACTAATATTAATAATAATGGCATCTATCTTTCACCTAATTACGCTCAAGAGGATGGATATTTAGATAAGATCATTTGTGATAAGTCAGCAACGTTTACACAGTATCCTTCTGTCCATGACTCCAGTATGTCATCAACATCTTCATCATGTGTGACACCATCTTCGTCATTATTTGTTTCACCTCTTTCACCTGGTACACTAGACAAAAATTTGCCACTTCTATTTCACTCATGGTTCGACTCACCTAACAACTGTAATACAAGGAATCAAGAGAATTTTAAAAAACCTTTATCGTTTAACATAGATCACATTTTAAATTCGTCTAAAAAAAGCAGTCAATTGGATACTGTTAGTCTAACAGGAAGCACAATCAACGATCAAAATGACAACAGAAATTGTTTAAGTAGCAAACAAACTGATTCTTCTAATGTATCATTCGCCCATTCAACAACCTTATCGACTGTATCCTCACCACTGTCTTCTTGTCCTCCCACTGTTTCATATCCTCTTTCTATTCTATCTGCGAAAAAGAATTCAGAAATATCGGAATCAGTATTTTCTTCATCTTCAATTTCACACAAGTCTTATACGGACATTTTACTGAATTTGCCCAGTTACACTACAGTGTTTAATTCTGCAATCACTGGTAATGATAATTTTCCAAGTCATGAAAAGTCATTGCATCATACCTACTTCATGCAATTTTTATCGAATCGAAAAGTGAATATGACAGAAAACTCAGGTAACTGGAATTCATCAGATCCGTCTAACTGTTTGCTTCCGAATGTGGATGTTCAGCTCTTATCTCACTTCATTCAATCTTTTCTACAAACGAATCAAATATTCAGTTAAAATCAACGAGAGACTTCCGAACAGAGAAGGGCCTACTTGATTATGTTGTCTCAGTAACTTAACTCACCTCATCTAATAAGAAGATAAACTTTACTTCTTTCTTCGTAATGAACGAGAAGCAGCATGAATAAACAGTTTCTGTCGTACTATTATAACAGAGTTGTAATACATCATGCGTAATAGCAAATAGCAGTTGATGATAAGTACCAACATCCAATTGCTGTATCAGCCTGACAGAAAAGTAACTGCAGTTGTAGTAAGTAAAGTTATAGTGGTATTCCTTAATTTCTGTTGAGAAAACTTGCATAATATGCGTTGATTGCTATTGAATATAGTCTACAAAAATATGTATGTGATTTTATTTTACTAATTTCCTTTATCCGACATCTGTGTTTTCCCCTTGGTATTCTATTTTCAGTTTTTCGCTTTTCCAAACTATTTGATTCATTACTTTTCCTCTGTTTCCTTTCCTTTTGTTTGAAACTACATATTACTTTTTAAAAAAAAAGGTATAATTCACACTGAAAGGTGTATACTTGTTCGCATTCTTACCTACCTTAATTACTCATCATTTCAGGTAATTCCTCTTGTTCTATTTATTCACAGTGGTTGCAAACAAACTGTATTCATATCTGTTGTTTGTCTATACAAAGCATGAAGATAAATGTCGATGTGGCTACAGCCATTAATATGGCATTCAGTCAATGTTACACGTAATCTTACAGAATGAACAACTTTCATTAGAAAACAAATGAATTCCATTGCATACTTTTGCATATTTCTTATGAAACGAGGTTAACATAATTTATTTATTTGAATATATTTAACTAATTACATGCATGAAACAAATCATGTTCACCGAATTGTATCTTTGTCACCACTGTTTTCAAATTTATCTTGGTAGTGAGTGAGTTCATACGTTTATTCTGTTTTAACGAATCTGAAATTTATAAAATACTACAATAAAATTAACTATATTTAAGTTTATTTGTACTGTATTTGCTGCACTACATTATATAATACAATAATTGTAGAAAATGATTAATCTACTCCCAAGCCATGTTGTATGTTTCACCAACAGTAGCGATTCTAATAGTGTTGTCCTAATACTTACAACTGGAAGTATCAGTCCAATTTCATTAAGAATTAAAATAAATGCTGCCAAAGGAAAACATCATGACTTTTCAAATCTTACTGAAATCTATTTCTGAGATATATTCTTAGAACAATGACTGGGAAGGCAGTAAAATTTCATTTGTTAGGTGCAACTGTCACCCAGTCAACTTCCGAATAGGCAATTTTCAAGTTACTTCTCCTCTATATGCTAAGGAATCATTCAATTTTATTCGTATAATAATTTATGTGATACCGAACATGGTTTACTGATCACCTATGATATTACGATTTTTAAATGTTGCTGAAAATTCTAAAGAAATTAAATACTTTTCTGAAGTACAGATGACTTTACTGCTAAGCCTGGTTCATCAGTGAAAGAAATCCCATTGCGAAATTATTTGGTAGTTAGACATGGAACAGCTCAGGATTGTTGGGCAGTTTGGCACAGCGAAAAGTTCAACTGTGTCAGCTACCCGCACAACGTCTTTTCCCCTAGGGCTATCGATGCTCATTTTCACGGGGTATCTACAGAATGAAAGCCAACTAGTAATAATATAATTTGGCAGCTTATTCATTATGAGTAATGATGGAATCTGGGGTGCGCATTTCATTCTATTTGCGACTTGTCAACTGGATGTACAGAATGAAACCCTGGGTTCCACCTCTAGTCATCACAAACAAAAAAACACTTCATAATTTTGTCTTACGTGTTCACTGTAGCTTGATTTACATAAAGAAATTTTTATACGTGTTAGGTGATGGAGTACGGCCACTGCAGAATTATGATAATGGTTTCCCATCAAAAAAGTGCAGTGAAAACTTCACTGAGAGAAACGCAAAAAATATTATTTTCAACTGTTGTTACGCCTAGGTATATGCGTCGAAGCAGGAGAAAATTCAAATAACTGGTACATAGGAAACTGGGTATAAAATTCAGGATGAAGAAAGGAAAACAAAATTTGCAGTACAAAATGATGTCATTCTATTTCACAGGTTCTCATCATCCGCAGACTACCTGAAATTACAATGGTTATATAAGTGATAATAACCTACTTTAATTTGCAATTGATAGTGTTCTCTGAGCTCCTTGGTTTAATTGCGGAGCTTTCATCGTCTTTCTGGACGACATCTTCAGCGCGGTATTTAGGACAAAGTGAAATGATTTAAATTTCTTCATGAGTCTCCCGGTAACCATCTTTAGATATGTATTGACCGTTTTCTATTGATTGGGATTTTAAACTTTCTGATCACCTGATTTACTTCTTATTAGTTGGTATATTTCCTCTATATTAACGTGTTCATTAATTGCGTTTTCATTTGAGTACCAGGCTTCTAGGAATTCCCTGGCACATTTAGTGTTTCCTCTGTTTAAGATTTTGACATTATCCCAATCAAATTGATGTCCATAATCGTCTGTATGCATTGATACTAAAGAATTTATATCATGTCTTTTCACGGCTGATTTGTGTTCCTGGATTCTTATTCGAAGGGGACGCCCACTTTGGCCGATGTAATGTTTGTTACAGTTCATACAATTTATTTTGTAAATGGTGTTAATTTTATCTCCCTTTTCTATCGGATCTTTTGGTTTGCATAGGATGGAATTAAGCGATTCAGCTGGTTTGTGTGCTACATCTATATCAAACGGCTAGAATAATGAAACCGTTTGATATAGATGTAGCACACAAACCAGCTGAATCGCTTAATTCCATCCTATGCAAACCAAAAGATCCGATAGAAAAGGGAGATAAAATTAACACCATTTACAAAATAAATTGTATGAACTGTAACAAACATTACATCGGCCAAAGTGGGCGTCCCCTTCGAATAAGAATCCAGGAACACAAATCAGCCGTGAAAAGACATGATATAAATTCTTTAGTATCAATGCATACAGACGATTATGGACATCAATTTGATTGGGATAATGTCAAAATCTTAAACAGAGGAAACACTAAATGTGCCAGGGAATTCCTAGAAGCCTGGTACTCAAATGAAAACGCAATTAATGAACACGTTAATATAGAGGAAATATACCAACTAATAAGAAGTAAATCAGGTGATCAGAAAGTTTAAAATCCCAATCAATAGAAAACGGTCAATACATATCTAAAGATGGTTACCGGGAGACTCATGAAGAAATTTAAATCATTTCACTTTGTCCTAAATACCGCGCTGAAGATGTCGTCCAGAAAGACGATGAAAGCTCCGCAATTAAACCAAGGAGCCCAGAGAACACTATCAATTGCAAATCATCCACCTGACTTACAAATCTTTTCTATTATTTCAACCTACTTTAATGTTTGAGTGGTAGTAGAGATAAAATTGACGCATCCAAAGTGAAAGTATTACAATTTTTAGTTTTCGTCATCAATTTATAAGCTTTTAAAGTTGAAAAGAGGGGGGAGGGGTATGACGGAAAACAGAAAAGATTGATCAACAGAACAGCGTTAGCTTGTAGGTCCACACAGCAACTCCAAAAAACAAAGGCGGTTACAGTTTATGAGGTTAAGATTTGTTCAGTGAGTTGAGATCACTGAATTAGATGACTAATTAATGCAATCAAAATCAAAATCCAGTTACCAAGGGAGTGAGAGGTTAATCACACTCTCTTTCTGTATGCATAAGTCTGGTTTAAATCGTTTGATTGTAGTCGCTCCGGCAAATCGTAGTAAATTTGCTGTCCTTTGTCTATTTAACATTTTGAAGGACCTAGAAATCTCTACGAGATGTCTGGTATCAACAATATGTCTGGTAATTGTACTCTGAGAATATTTGCTTCCATTCAGGCACAGGTTTCTTGGAATATGTTCAGAAAACCGGATAGAAGCCCTTCTTTCTGTCCTTCCAATGTACTTGCTCCCGCAAGTGCACGTAAATTCATAAACGCAGTTGTAGGTGACATCAGCAGAGTATTTATTCAGTTTTGGGTGGCTTATAGAAAAAGTGGTGCTGTATAATGTGATGAGTTTTGCTGCCGGGAAGCTTCTGTTTATTGCACCTTTCAGTCTTTTGTCAATATTTTGTGACACTGCATCTCCTTTGAAGGGAGAGAAATAAACATTTTTCTTTTCTACCGTTGGAAGCTTTTCCTTCTTTTCTTTTTCTCTGCTATACTTCTGTATAAATCCCTTAGGGTATCCATTTTCCCTTGGGCATTTCTCGACGAAATCTAATTCTTCTTCGACCTTGTTTGGTGAACATAGCTTCCTGGCTTTATCGTACAAAGTCCTCATTAATCCATGTTTATAGCTTATGGGACAAAAGTTGTTATAGTGAAGATATTGTCCAGTCTAGGTTTCCTTTCGATAGATGGACTTTTCAATCATGCCTTCGTTTTTTCTTTTTACATTTAGATCCAGGAAACTAAACTCATTTTTACGTTCATATTCCATGGTGAATTTGATATTTAGATGGATCTCATTTAGGCGATCATATAATACCGATGCGTGATCCATTTCGTTGCAAACAACAAATGTGTCATCAACACATCGGCGATAGTAGGTTGTTCCATTGATAGCAGAACTAGGCTGCGTCTGTTCGAGGTAGGCCATGAAGATATCAGCCAGAATATATACCATAGGCGGACCCATCGCGGCGCCATCAATTTGTCGGCAAAGTTGATTGCTGAATTTGAGTTGTATATCTTTTGTGAAAAGCAGCAGTAGTCGCTTCATCTTTGTTTGCGGTAATGGTAGTAGATCCGTTTGTTTACAAATGATATCAATTGTTTCCATCAGTGGTACGTTTGTAAACAAGGAAGTCACGTCATACGATACCATGAGTTTGTCTGATATGTCAATATTGTCAACTTCCTTGGAAAATTGATAGCTATCATTTAGGCTGTGGGTTGCAAATTTAATTCGAATCAGCTCTATAGAATC